TTATAAGTTATTGAAATTTTACTAATTTCATTTGTTTTATATTCCTATACTATTAAAAATTTTTGAACATTTATTATATTAATTTTATCATAAAAATATTCTGATATATCTAATTATCTTTATATTTTGATTATTTATGATATTATTTATGATATAATATTATTTTGTCAAATATAATATAATTAATTCTGTCAAATTAAATTAAAAATTCAATATTTTTTAAATATTTAAATAAGTAAAATCATAATTTACATTATATTTTATAATATAAATTATAAATCTTATTTTTAACCTGCATATATGTTAGTATATATTTTTTTGTTTTTTATAATATATATTTTTATTTATGCAGATTAAATTAATAATATAAGTAAAAAAATTAAAATAGAAAAATAACGCTATGATATATTTTTTGAAAATTGATTATTGATTTTTTTCAAAAACATAAATCGTTTTGAAAATAATTTATTTTATTTTTTTGAATTATTTTTTTATATTATTTTTATATTATATATTTTTTATATTATTGCAAATTTTATTTTACTATATATGTTAATTTTTTTATTTATAGATTATATATATACATATATAATAAAATTTTTCATACATTTCATATTATAAATAATTTGAAATAATAAATGTTTATTGCTTCAAGAAAGTTATGTGAATGTATGAGAAATTTTGAAGTTATAAATTTATATTATATTTAATTTTTCTAAAATTCTTTTTAGATCTAAAATCTATAAATTAATAGTTATTATAAAAACTTTATTTTTTCACAGGTGATAATTGGAATAATAATGATGCTATGAAAAATAATTTGAAACGAAATGGAGCTTTTAATGAACCAAATGCAACTATGGAAGTAGCTCAGCTTATATTAAGTTTATTGCATGCCTGGGGGATTGATCCAGATTTAGATCGTGTTTGTGAAGGGAAATTAGGTTTATTAAGACCTATGGTTCCTGTTTCATTTGGAGTTTTATCTAAAGGAGGTATAAATAAATATAATTTAGTTTATGAAATATATATGCTCATAATTTAATCTTATGTTTGAAAGGTTACATGTCATTATTATTACCAACTTGGCAAACACAATTGGAACCAATTGGTGAACCTGCAACTCAATTAGAACAACGTTTACCAGCAGAATTAGTTAGACAGGAAAGACTTACAAGAGCATTCACAGCAAGAGCGCATTGGGAATTGTCTACCACATTAACTAGCAATCATTTATTAGCAGTAGTAGCTTTAGCAAATACTTTAATGTCAATGAATAATGCCACTTTTGTACCTGAACAAGAACGAAATCGAATAATGCATAGGTTAATAATTAATATTATTTTCTTTTTTTCTGCTTTAAATAATATATATATATATATATATATATTATTTAATATATTTAGGCCTGGTAATAGATCTACAATAAATTGGAATAAAGCAGAGGAGGAAAATGAAGAAATTTATACAGCACAACAAGCACAGATTAAACAAGGTTGGTCTCTTTTAGCAACATTGCATTGTGTACTTTTGCCCGATAAAATAGTTTCACAAGGTGGTATTAAGACATTTAAACGACCTCAAGTTGAAATGATGGCTCGCAGATGGCAACATCAATGTCTTGAGGTTTGTTAATATTGAAATGTATGAAAAGATATATAAAATTTACAATATTAAAATAATAATATAAATAATAATAATTTCAGATCCGTGAAGCTGCTCAAGCTTTATTACTTGCTGAATTAGGAAGAATGGGTCCAAAAGGAAGAAAAACTCTTGTAGATAGTTGGTCACAATATTTACCAATGTATAGCACTCAAGAACCTATTGCACCACAATCACAAAATCAAAGTCCACCAGTTCCTGGTAGCCCAATTCCTCCATCTGAATCACATACAGAAGAGGAAGATGAAGAAGAAGAATTAGCAGAAGGCAAGTTGTTTATAAAACTCTGCTTATATCATTTTAATCTTAAAAAGTATAATTTAATTATTTTATATATTTACATTAGCAGAAATAAATGTAGCTAGGAAGCCATCGAGTGTGGCGGAATTAAAACGAAAGCAAACCACGGCAGTTGTATTATTAGGTGTAATCGGTGCAGAATTTGGGCAAGATGTTACTACCACGAATCAAAAAAGAGATAATGAACAAAGGCGAAAAAGTTCAATAGTAGAAGGTTTCGGAATAGGAAATAATAATCTTGCTAGGCATACTAGTATGGCGCTTACGCATTTATTACATGCACCTCATTCACCAAAATTACCCTTACATACAGCACTACGAAGAGCTGCAATTGATCTCATTGGTAGAGGTTTTACAGTTTGGGAACCATATCTTGATGTATCAAAAGTAAGAATAATATTAATATGTTAATAATATAATTTACAAATGATAAAATGTACATTATTAAATTAATAATAGCTAAAGAATTATATATTGGTCTTATGTTATATAATATAGGTATTATTGGGATTATTAGAAATGTGTTGTGATGCTGATAAGTTAGTACCAAATATGACATATGGCCTTCCACTTACACCTCAAGCTGATACATGTCGTACAGCACGGCATGCTTTAACTTTAATAGCTACAGCTAGACCTGCAGCATTTATTACTACAATGGCACGAGAAGTGGCTAGATATAACACTTTACAACAAAATGCACAAACATTAAATGTAAATATGAGTGCAAGTGTTTTAGTAAGAGCAAAACCAGAAATACTTAGAATTGTTGAACAATTAATTGATAAAATGCAGAGTGAAATGAGTGATCTCTTAGTTGAGGTGAGAATACGGATCTTAAATGTTATTATATTAATGTGTTAATATATTATAAACAATTATAAATAATTGATATTTGATAATTCAGGTGATGGATATTATTTTACATTGTTTGGATCCAGGTCATCTTAAAACTAAACCACTAAATGATGTATTCCCAGCAGTATGTAGATTTAATCAAGTAAGTTGAGTTGTTTTAATATTATTTAAACAATGTTTTAATATTTTTGTTGATTTATTTATTAAAAATATTTTTTAAATAATTTAAAAAATTATTTAATTTATAATAAATATATTTATTTTAGGTAAGTCATTGTCCAGCAACACGCAGAATAGCAGTAGGCAGCCGCAATGGTCAGCTTGCTTTATACGAATTACGAGGAAACGTTAAATGTCAAACAGTACCTGCGCATACATCATCTGTAACTGCGTTAGCATTTTCGCCCGAAGGCAAGTTCCTGGTTAGTTATTCTTGTACGGAAAATAAGTTATGTTTTTGGCAGGTAAGATGTTTTTTTATATATTTTGAGTTAATAGCATAAAATTTTAAAATTAATTTAAATAATTTTTAACATTTCCAGCAAACAAGTAGTGGTATGTTTGGCCTAGGAAATTCTCAAACACGTTGTGTAAAATCATATAGTACTGCACCCATTAACGATGTAGCACGATTAAATCCTATGCGACTAGCTCGATTGATATGGATAAACAATCGTACAGTTACATTAATGCTTGCTGATGGGTCTGAAACACGCTTTAATGTATAACTTTAAAAATGATCCCTTTCAATAATGGGTGAATAAAAAATTGAACATTATAAAATAAAATGGGATCAGTCTATAGCAGAAATATGAAATAACCAAAAGTGATGTTATGAATGTTGGTGCGCTTATTGGTACTTAATAGTACTAGTGCTAAAATAATCAGATATGGAGCATACTGAAATGAAGTTCATCATTACACGATGCAGGATATGGTTTAGCAATTATCGTCAAATATGGTATGAAAATTTTTTCTTTAATCTATATACAAATATATAAATATGTATTTCTTTTTATTCCATCTACACAATTTAAATATTTTATTTTTTGATCGCGTATCAATACGCTCCATTTTGTGTTCTTGTTAATGCCTAAATTTTAACAAAAAAATATTCTTTTTATCTAGTAATTTAATTGTACATTATTTGATTGCTAATTACGTAATTATAATTCCAAATTATTTAATTATATAAAATTTCATGAGTTTCATTTCGAAATAAAATAATATAATGAAACGCTTTCATACCGATATATATATATATCGTAAAATTCGTTGACCATTTCTATATGAAGATTGTGTGCTGTACTATATATTATGCAATATTATACTATTATGTATGCTATTCAAAGCCACGATTACATATTCCTGAAACCCTGATATAATAGATATAATATAACATAAAAAAATGTGGCTACCATGTGGAACCTCGCGTTGAAAGTACATATACATGTATATATACATATTAAAAAAAAAAAAAGAAAAGAAAAAATAATGAATTATCGCCTGAAAATTTGTATATACATAATGGCGAATCGTATAGATCAATATAATTCATATGAAATATCTTGTATTTAATTTATTCATGTATAATTGAATGCTTCAAATGAATTCCTGTTTTACAAATTTTACATGTTATTTATCCACATAATTTGTACTATTTAATGAAAGTTAAATATTTCCATATCTTATAGTTCTATGTTGAGATCTGAATTTTAAAAATATTATTTGATTGTGCATGTTTGGTACTTAGAACTAAAAAAGATCAATTGAAAAAAAATTCAATGATAGATTCTTAATATACAAAATAATAATTTTCAAATCTATTATTTAAAATTTAAATATTATTTTAAGATTTTTACAAATATTCCATGTAAAAATGATTATTAATATTTATTTCATCAATTAAAATGAAACCATTGAGAAAGATTAAAGTAATTGTGTATAGTATCATTTATATGTGAACTTTTTTGTTATTATTTTTTTCCTCGGAATAAATAATGTTTTTTCATTCCCGAGAAAATGAATAGATAAAGAATATAGATAATATTAAATTTATTTAGTATAATTTATTATGATTATTGCCTTTTATGAATTTTACACAATGATCTGTATAAATATACAATGATAACGTATATAATTGTACACGTTTTAAAATCAATAAGTTACTACAGACATTGTGATTAATTTAACAAGTAATGTATGTACAATATTTATTATAATTATTATATATCGCACAAAATTTATTAAATTTTTCAAAAATTTTTGAATATAACATTGAAATTTTAAAGAAATATTTTAAAAATGATAATTTGTTCAATCAATTTGAAATATAATGTACAGTTATATTATAATTGTTATCGATAACATATAATGTTCATCAAATTTATTTATGAATTTTTTAAAAATATTTTAAAAATATTTATTTTTTATATATATAAATGTTTTAAGCTATGACAATGTGCTTCAATAATGCAAAAAAACATAAAATATTTTTAATTTTAATTTCTTTATTTAATTGAAATAACATCACAAAAGAAATATATAAATAGGAAGATGAAATTATAATTTATTTATCGATAACAAAATTTAATCTTTTAAAATTTAAAAGATATTAGGTTTATAATTATTGAAAAGGTTAAAAACATTAGTACCGTATAAACATTTGTCACGCAGGCGTGTCTAGAATCGGTACCAATGCAAAAATACTCGTAAATAGCAGCCGAAGGAATATTTCGACTTTACGAATATATATGAGAATGAGATCCGTTTCTCTATTATGTCTCATTGCGATAAATTAAACGATTTCAATGCGTTACATGTATATTGTATATAAAATTAAACTATGCCTACTTGTATCTATGTAATTATTTATGTGTATACTTTATCGTGCGTTGCGAATGATTAAATGAATTTATATATGGAAAATGATCGAGATTATTATTATTTTTATTGATCATTTTCTTATAATAAATAATTGTCAGTGATGGATATTCGATTTTCAATCTTTAATATAAATTAAAAAAAATTTTTGAAAAATCTTTACTATATTTATAAGTCAGAAATTTTTCTAAATTTCATCATTATTGTGAAAAATTAAATGTAATTAAATATTAAAATATCTTGTGAAAAAGTTTTGTGAAAAATATCTTGTGAAAAACTGTCTATATTATATTTCTATGAAATAAAAATATTTAAGCGTTTAAATATTTAAAAAAAATCAAATATTAAAAACTTAAAAACTAAATTAAAAATTTGCCAGAATCTTCAATATTTTCTTTCATCATTTCAATGTATTACATATAACTTTCGATTCCATCACTAACGGTAATATTTAAAATATAAAAGGAAAATATACCATACATGTTGTTAATCGTTATGCAATAATTAAATGTATTTAAATGTATCTAATGTGAAACGCGTTGCGTTTAAAATTCGATAATATATATATCATAAACCATAAAGATGAAAATTTTTATCTTAATGAATTTTATACCGTTACATTAATTATCAAAAAGAAAAAAAATTTAATTATTTATATTTTAGGAAATATTTATTTGTTAAACCACAAATGATATAACAAATTTCTTTTATTAGAATTATAAAATTATAATTTAAACATTAAAAATCATATAACTAAAATTTTAATAGCAATTTTTACAAAAAATTATTTAAATAAACAGATGTTATATTTATAAATTATTGTTTGTAAATATATATATATATATATTATATAACATATATAGGATGTTAATATATTCATGATTCATCTTTAGAGAGTCAATTATAAAAATTAAAACAAACATAAAAGTTATTATGAAAAAATTTCGATTAAAACTTTTTTATAAATTTGCGTTAGATGAAATGATGAAAATAGAATCTTGCTTTATTTAATACGAATTTAAATCGAATAAAATTATAACTAATATAATATATAACTAAATATAAGTATGGATTAATATTTTTATATATTATTTATTTATAATTTTTGTATTCTTCAAAATTGACTCCACAAAGATATCCTATAAATATATTAAATCTTTATATATGTATGCATGGAATTAATTTTCAAAAATTAAATCATTAAAATTTAACTTCGTTTATTGTAGATATTAATCTGAAGTTTCCTTTTAGATAAATTTACTATTATTATTATTATTATATTATTACTTTTATCATAAATTCAATTCGTTTAATCCTTATATTAGATATTACGTCTATTAATCTTTCTTTAAAGGAAATGAAAAAAAGGAAAAAGTATAAAAAAAATTCTTTTAACATTATGTTTAACTATTTATGAGTAGTATATAAAAAAAATGTTACAGATTATATTAAAATTTAAATAATGATAGATTGTATTTTAAAGAATATATTTAATTAAATATAAAAATTATTTCTTACTCAAAATAAATTAAAAATAATTGTAAAAAAATGAATTTAAAATTTTATATTTATAATTAAATATAAAATAAGTTTAATGTCTAGTAAGTTAATTCAATGTAAAAATTTTATATATTAAAACAAAGATATATTTATTTAATATTGTTTTAACATAAAAATATGTAATACAATAAATTTTCTTTTTATTAAATACGATAATAAAAATATTCAAATAATATTATAGATAAAAGAAAATTTTCAAAATTGACAAATAATTCATTGTAATGTTGGTAATATATTGATGTAAAATGCTGCAACATAAAAAAATTTTATATTTATAAAATTTTATTTGAATGATCTATCCTGTTATTTATGTTTTAAATATCAGTATAATATACGAACAATAATATTGTCATCTTTTATTCAGGACTCTAGCCAAAATTTCATCACAATAAACCTATATTAAAATATATATAATATTGTCCGTTTAAATGTTTGGAATCTTAAACTAAATTAACTTATTTATTTAAATAGCTTATTTAGAGAAGAATTCATAAATATTTAGAGAAATCATAATGAAATAATCAAGCGATAGAAATACATATAATAAACATTAAAGAAAAAATTTGAACATTTATACGGGCAATAATTATATCTATCTATTATTTATATTAAATAATCACCTTAAGTTGAATAATTCCATCTCATAGCATTTTTTAGCATTCTGAAAAAAAAAAATGTAATTACTAATTGAATATAATGTTAAAATTTATATATATAATATTTTATTTATTCAGTACACGTTGGGATTTTAGAGATTCCTCATTATATTCAGACCCGAAAGAAAATCATCATTATATTTAAAATACTTTTATAAAATAAATTATATAGAAAAAATACTTATTATATTTATAGCATTAATTCAATTTAAAACTAAATATTTAATATTTAATTTAAATATTTAAAGAAATATATGTTACCTTTTATGTGAAAAATCCAAAATAAGATCTTGTATTTATGAATGATAGAATTAAACATTGAATTTTTTGTTTTACATATCATTAAATATCATATACTAATTACAATATTGTGATGTAATTATTTAAAGATATTCAAAATTTAATAAGTTATTAAAATTTCATTGTAAAAATTATTTTATCTTAAATTATATAGATAGTCTATAATTATAAAGATAGTTCACTTGAGCATCATTTTTTCTATAAAAATATTTTTGAAAAACAATTATAATCTTTAAAAAGATTACGATAATATGTTTAGTTTTATTAATTCTTAATTTTCAATATACAGATTTTCCACCTGCAAAAATTTTTTTTATTAATATTATATATAAATATCAATATAATATAATAAATATAATAAAATAATTTTCAAATTAACATATTTCAAATAATATAAATGAAATTAATAAAATTTAAAATTTTTTTTAAATAATTATTTGTTATGAAAATATTATAAAAAAATTTAATTTTATATTTAGTAAAAAAAAAAGTAGAAAAGAAACTAAAATAAACCTTATTTTAAAATTCCTTTGTATATATTCCTTTTCTCTGTTTGTATCTCAAGTACATATGGAATGCTGAAATAAATGCAATAAATGATCTGTAAATAAAAATTTTACTATAAGAAAAAATGATTATATATTTAAATATTTTTATAATTGTATTTAAATAATTGTGAATCATTTAAAATTTTAATAATTAATGAATTGAGATTAAAGAATTATTAGTTAGAAAACGAAATTCAAAAATAGATAATTAAACTTATAATTTTTGGAAATTTACCTTTTTATCTTTCAATGTGTTTTATTCGTTTCCTCAGCCAGCAGTTGCTATAAATATCTGTAAACATAAAACCAATATATATATATTTTATATAAAAAAGGTATAATATGTAAGCATTTTAATTTTCAATACAAGAAGTAATAAATTAACATGTTTAATATAAATTATATGAGTTAACATCTGCTAAATAAAATTGACAATAAAACTGTTATAAGGCATTCTTCCAAAATTTTATGTTTAAAAAATATATTTCATTGTTAAATATAAATATAAGATTTGTTATATTTTATAAAACACTTTCTACTCTTTCAATAATTAAATTTTTATGTGAGTATAACA